AGATCTGACACTTTTCTTATAAGATTATGGCTCATTTTTTTACACATTTTCCATGACCTATAAGGCACCTTCCATACGTTATTTTAAATTGAAGATGGTCAGTGAGTTCCCTGTACATACCCATTGATCTCTCTAGATAGGTTTTCCTTCTCTTCCTCATTAATATTCTTTCTTTTGCATCTTCAGAATTTTTTTTTTTTTATTAGAGTTTCTATTCCGTGGTGGGCTTGACTTTCCCCTGTGGAGTTATAGACTGTGTAATCTTGTTTATTGTTTCTAGGAACACTTTGAAGTTGGATCCCTCCAAACCTAGGCTATTAATCAGATTATGTCCAACTTTCCTCTCATTTATCATGAATTCTAAGATGAAGTGGTCACTTTCCCCCAAATTTCCTATCATTTCTACTTTAGCAACCATTTCCTAATTGTTAGGATCAGATACAGAATAGCTGTTCCCTTTCTTTGTTTCCCATAGGGAATAATTTAGTTTTTCTTTAAAAACAATAACAAGACTTTGAATACCTATAGTATGCTTTTTACTACAAGGCATGTATGCCCAGTAATATGCTGGTAGATGCTTAACATCCAGCTCTCTGGGGGAAAAACTTACTCAAGACACACTTTTTTTTGTTTTGGAAGAAAAAAATGGACTATATTGAATTTGTAAAATATAATATTTTTTTTCCTTAATTACTTTTTTAAACACCTTTTTAACATTTTTTTTTAAGTTTTGAGTTCCAAATTCCTCCTGCCTCCCTCCTTCATACAGATAGAATTTATAAGCACAAAATGAAGGCACTTATTTCAATTTGTCATCTATTTCTTCTGGCTTGTTGATTTTATGTTCTCTACCTAGGATAAGTATTTGACAATAAGCAGTGCTTCATCTTCTCGAGCTGAGTCAAGATAATCTTCTTTGGGTTCTGGAATATGACCCAAGATTTCATTGATTGCCTCTGTTTCCATATCTTCATCTGTTGAGGCACTAAAACTACCAGCAAAATCTAAGGGGGATTTTGTTGATGAAATTGAAGAAGAATCTTCAGATGATATTTCTAAGGCAAGGAGAAGAGTTCTTCCATTATGAGCAGTGTCTGAGCAGCCAGCGGAACATTTCTACTAAATACTCTAATAGATGTCTTGGCCGTCTCAGCTTCAAAACCCATATATCCCAACTTATCAATATTGACTTGAGAAATATGTTCCTGGTTGTTGTTCATCTGAGGATCTGCATCATTTAGCCCCCATATCTGAGGATAACTAAGAAGAATCTTGAGTGCTTCCTCCAGGCTTCCTCTTACTAGTGGAGAGCTTCCTTTGTAGCATGAGCTAAATAGCCCATTCCTTTCAGAGTTTAGTTATTTGGTAGTCCTTTTATTTTATGGGTGGCAGCGTGATCCACATTCCCATCACAAGCCCTCAGGCCAAGCTGGGCTTCCGTAAATCCCAGTTGCAACAAACTGTGAACTTTTAGAAGATCCATAAGCAACTCTTCATAGAGTTGCTGTGCCTTATTGAGATATTCAGAAGCCTCCTCCCCATTACCACTATGATAATTTCTTATTCCTTGAAGCAAGTACCTTCTCTCTCCCATAATTTCCTTTATATGGGCTGGTCTTTAGTGGTTTTCCCCATAGCAATTTGGGGTCATATTTAGCTTTTCCCCACTGCATCATCAAGGCATCCCAGCTGTCCCAAATGGAACTGACGCACTGCATAATTATCTACTGTATCTAACAATTCTCTGCATCATTCACAGAAGTATTGGTCAGCATCCAGCAAACAGGGCAGTGCTATTGCATAGATTCACACAGCTAGTAAGTGTCTGAGGCTGGATTTGAACTCAGAAAGAGGAGTATTCCTGACTCCAGACCCAGTGCTCTATTCTCTGCACCACCTAGCTGCCCTTCTCATAATATCCCATAGCTAACATTTGGGCTTTTTTTTTTTTTTTTGCTGTGGTTATTTTGATTGATCTGCCTGTCTGATTAGCTATTTCTAAGTATGGAGTTGTTTCAGTATCCTCAGTCTCAGCTCTCTGTGCCGATATTTCTAGCCTTTCTCTTCTTTTCCTTTTTGTCAACTTCCTTTTGCTTTCATTCTTCCTGAAGATTTCTTTTCTTGTCTTCTTCTGGCTGCTTGAGTTCAAGCACCGTAGCTTTCACATTGTGTATAACCCCTTGCTCTTGTAGGGTTTTCCCTTATAGCCATTATAATATAGTTTTCTTGATATCTAAAGGTTTCTGCTATTTGTGATCTCTGTTCTTTGCTGGTGATATGCACTTTGGTTTCCAGTAAGCTTTTCTAATCTTTTCTTAGTCTCGGAGGCAAGAATATCTCAATTGTAGCAACACCTGTGGTTTTAAATTTTTAATTTCCTGTTCAACTGCTTTACAGCATATTTCTTCAATTATTTTTTCTATTTCATTTTTACAACATTCTAACTTGTCTGAATATTTCATTGCAAGCCCCTTTAATACCAAACCAGCTTCTTTGTTCTCAGTTGTATATGGAGGTTTCCAAAGTTGAATTCTGTCTTCCCTTAAGAAATAGTTACTTCTATATCTATATACTTGCTTATAGATACTTCTTTTGTGCCATCCTTCATATCCCCAGCACTGGTCCCAGAGCCCCTCACACCGCAATGGGGACCAGGCCTGCACTCCCCCACAGCTACCTGGGGGCAACCCTCAGTCCCAGAAGAATCTCAGGGTATGGGGTGTGGCACAGGGCTCAACCAGAGCAGACCCCACCAATGAGCTGTTGGGAGGCAAGGAGTCAAGCCCCTTGGCCCCCCAACTCAGCCTAGTCCATCCAGGCCAAAGCCTCCCTCACCTAAGACACATTTTTTAAAGTTTAATCTTCATTATTGACTTTTTCTCCATCACTTTCTTAGGTCTAGACCAGGGGTGGGAAACTTGTGGCCTCGAGGTCACATGTGGCCCTCTAGGACTAGACAATCAACAAAACAATAAATCAAACTCTAATTTATAGCCTTTGCCAATTTCTAAGGTATAAATGCTGACATTAAATATTTAATTAACAAATAGTACTCTCTAGACCCCATATGAACTGGCTGGAGCACACCCCTGTGTGTACCTAAATGTCTTCCCATCAGTATCCAAACATTTGGACTACATTCAAAATCAAGTTTAATATGGGAGGAAGAGAAGAGAGGGGATAGAGAGGGAGTGGGAAAGAGAGAAGAAGAGGAGAAGAGTAATCACTATTTTACATGAATGGGGTACATAAAGAAAAGAGTACACAAACATAGAGGAAGGGTGGAGGGAAGAGGTACCTCATGAGCTCACCTTTATCAGAATACAGAAAAAGGAGGTTTGAACACACATACACACAGAATTTGGTGTAGAAATACATTAAATTCAACAGGAAAACTGGCAGTGACAGGGAAAAGGGTTATGTGGTGGGGAGGAGAGTAAGAAGGAAAGTAGAATTCTATCAGGAATAGTCACAAGCAAACAAACTTCAGCTTCATAGGACTGATCATAAAAGGGGGAATAAAAGAGAGAAAGAGAATATAATAACCAGGAGATCAATGTCCAACCTTGGTGAAGAGAGGAGGCCCAAAGGGGTAGGAACAGAACACTTTTCAATCAAAGTCCTTCTCTTTCTCCACCATTTTGTTCTTTGTAAAGAGGGTAATAGGAGAGAAAGAGGGAAAAGTAGCAGAAATTGTGATGGAGGGAAATTCATAATTAATAATCATAATAGTGAATAGAATGAACTTGCCCATAAAAGGGAAGAGGGTAGAAAAATAAATCTAGCAGAATTCAATATGTTATTTACAAGAAACACACTTGAATTATAAAGATTATTAATAACTTAAATAAAGTAGATAGATATCAAATAAGTACACAAAATCATCAACCTTTCTGCATCTTACTAGGAAAACCCAATAGGAAAAGATAGAAAAATAAATTTTCTTCAAAATAATGAAAAACATGTATAAAATATTTGGTAAACCAGATACCAAGACACACACAAGAATTATATGAACACAACTACAAAATACTATTTAGAGAAATAAAAACAGACAAACATTTGAAGAGTTATTATTTGCTCATGTTTGAACAGTACCACTATAATAATAATTATAATACTAACTAAATTAACTCAAATTATATCCAATACTATGCCAACCAAGTACCTATTGTAAGTACTTTGTATATGTATGTATATACATACATATATATATTCTACATATTCTTACATATGTATATGTTATATCCCCAATAAAATATAAATTCCTTGAGAGAAGAAATTATTTTATTCTTTGTATTGACTGATTATGATTGATTGATTTCGACAATTTGTTTAGCCAGCTCCCTCAATAAATGCCTACCTGTATTTTCAAGCCTAAATCAAATTCCACTTCCTCTAAAAATACTTTCCATGAATCCTCATCTGTAATGTCCTTTCCCCTTAAAATCTCATGTATCAATTTGTTTTGCAATTCTAATGCACCTGCGATACAAGATTGTGCATTATAGTTTTCTATGTTTGTGCCCTTTCTACATAGTTCTTATATAAACTTTACATTTCTGCCTAGCTCAGTGCTATGCACATAGCAGGCAGTTAATACTTATTGAATTGAATTAAATTGAATCTACTTGATCCTTTCCACAATTCTATAGGGTAGGCAGGTCAAGGATCATTTCCCCCATTTTATAGATGAAGAAACTGAGGCTCAGAGGGCTGAAGTGATATGCTCAAGACCAAACAATGAGACAGTGGCAGAACCAGGACTCTTGATTCCAGGTTCCTTGACTCTCTCCACAATCTGCAAGGATGAAAATAATTCTCCTCCCTCCCCTCAACCTTGAGCACATATGCAACTGCATGGTAATATTCATGGAGAAATGGGTCTTAGCTCTGTTTATGGATTTCCAGTAACTATATCCTTGTTTCGTTCTTCCCTGCCCACCCACCACCAAATCCTGCCCTATCTATTTATTAATGGATTCCTCTTTTTCTGGTAGGTTCCTACTATCTCACCACGACCTATGGGGCCCTGGAACATATCAAGAACTATGACAAGATCACTGTCACAAGGCAGCTGAGTGTGGAGGTACAGGATTCCATCCATCGCTGGGAACGCCGCCGGACCCTCAACAAGGCCCGAGCTTCTCGTTCATCCGTGCAGGTGAGTGGTCTGATGGGGCAGTACAAGTGACAACCCAGACAGTCCCCCCCAGGTATGATGGGGGGGTGTCATTTATTTGATTCAAGAAAGATTCCCTATCTAGAACACCAGTTCCTGACTCACAGGGCAGTTATGATGTTCGAGGAAAAGGACCATTTCCCGCTGATCAACCTTGCCATTGCTAAGCTTTGTAAAGGCAAAAGGACTTGGGTAGATATCTAAAAGATTTTCCCTAGTGATTGTGTCTATCCAGGAGAGTTATATTGAACCTTTGAGAAGTGGAAGGGAAACAATATCTCCTAAGATGATGCAGTTATACATAGCCCAGAATGTTAGCACAGTCAAGGAGGCAGGGCAGCATATCCGTTATAGTTTTAGGGATGTGAGTGCAGTAAATCATGTCAGTAGTCAGTTTCTTTCTCACTCAGAGGGAGCATATAAACGTGGGGAAATCCCAGATTTCTGGATTGATATTCTTTAAACTGACCCTAATACTCTGACTATAGTGTTGACTCAGTTGATGGGAAGAAGAGCAAGGAAGGAGGGGATGAGACTACTTTGTGATAGATCAGAGTGGCTCTAGGGAGATCAGTTATTTGAGTAGTATCAGAAGACCTCAGTTCAATTCTTATCCCTGTCAGTTACTAATACATAACTATACCAATTTCAGTTAAATAGTGAAGCTAAGATTTGAACCCAGGTCTCTTGGGTCTAATTCCAGTGCTCTTCCCACTATACCTGAGCTGCCTCCTAAAAGTAGGCAGCTACCTAACTGGGGTAATATCAGAGGCCCTACGAAGGTCCCTGCTGACTCCAAACAACTTATCCAGTTGCTCTCTGATGCCAGAAATCCCTTCACTCAGGACATACATTTCATTCTCCAACCAGATATGAGCTTTAGAGTATAGATACCCAGGCTACAGAAAACAGAGTGACTGGCATTCACACTAAAATGTAAATGATTTATTCAGTTCAGTACTTCAACTTAAAAAATTATTAAAAGTTCATCATATGCAGGACATTGTGCTAGATGCTGGGGAAGATATTAAGATCAAATAAGGTCTGCTTCCTAACCTTAAGGAGCTTAAAATCTAGTGGAGATGTCACAGCACAGAAAAACTATGATACATATAACCAAGAAAAGTAGAAAGTGCTGAAACTACAGCTCACATTTCAAAAGCACTCGATGAAATATTTACAAAGTGAACTCTGTGACTCGATGAAATATTTACAAAGTGAACAATCATTGGCCCCAGTTTGCAGGTGAGGAAAATGAGACTTAACAGTGATAAGATTATTTGCTCAAGATTCCTTAGCCAATAGGTGTCAGATCTGGGATGAGAGTTGCCAGTTGGACAGCATTTGGCTGGTTTTGTCCAGTATCTCGCCATAGAAGGCAGTTGCTAGTTCTAAATGTTGTGTGGTATCTCATTTTTTAAAAGTTTTGTTTTGGTAGCCTTAGTTGTCAGTCAAACCCATTTCTTCTGACTCCAAATCCCATATTTTTGACACTACACTACACTTAGGTTTTATCTCATCAGAGGTCTATCTACCAAAATGAAAACTTTAAAACTGAGATATCACATGAATTGGGAGTGAAAACCCCCAAGAAACAGAGTTTCCAGATAACTAATAAACAATTTATTAATTAGGCTAGCTAGTAATCAATAAATTGATGATCAGTGGTTTCTCTGTTACCAGAGACACAAAAGGAGACTCTGAATCATGTTAAATCAGGTGTGTGCCTTAGGATAGCCAACTCCCTTGACCCGTGAAACTCAACCCTAATTGGTGGATTTTTAATGAGGATGTGGGCTAAAAGTCTTCAGTTCCTCTTGCTGAGAATTTGGCTTGATCATGAGACCCAACAGCCTCAAGGCATCTGGGCAAGGGGAAGCCATCTCCATCAGGACCTCTCTGGATAGTTTTCTCCTTCATAAGCTGAGTTTCCCTAACTCTAATGGTGGGGACCAAGGACAGGGGTTCCTTCCTCAGGCAAAGGTCTCCCTCAGACTAGATTCTGTTTATACTCTACACAGAAATTAGGTTTCCCAGTTGGGCAGGATCCTTCCCAATCTAGTTAAGAGCATATGCCTTGGAGGCTAGGAGTAATCTCACCTCTCAGCCATGCCCTACAGAAACTAACTGACCTTTTCCAGAGTTGAGTCTTAACAGAAATAGAAGGAAAAGGGTGAATCACAAATTAATAATTAGTTATTAATATAATAGTATAATATTAATTTCTCTCACATGACATTTATAAGAAGCAGCTCCCCTTTTAATAACAAGATACTGGACGAAGCCAGCGACACGCTGTCCAGTTGGCAACCTTCATACCAGATCTGACACTTAATAGCTGTAGGATCTTGGGTAAGCTCCTCCGTGAACATCTTCCCTTACCAGAGACTGTTCCATAGAGTACTCAGATGCTATCATCCTTTGAGACCTCTAAGAGCATGTTTAGATGTGTGGAGAAGAAAGTCATAGAACACTGAGTTTTCCGTGAGGAGGGAAGAGATTCCAAATAGAAAAATGTCCTAGAAGTGAAAAGTTGAAGGAAGCACAGGCCGGCCAGACAGCTTTGAAAGTAACATGCTGAGTTTATACATGTGCGCCCGTGCAAGCGTGCGCGCGCGCACACACACACACACACACACACACACACCTCTTTATCTATCTATACATATATATAAACTTAGGGCAGCTAGGTGGCACAGTGGTTAGAGTGCCACTCATCTTCCTGAGTTTAAATCTGTACTCAGATACTTACTAGCTGGGTGACCCTGGGCAAGTCACTTAATCCTATTTGTCTCAGTTCCTCATCTGTAAAAATAAACTGGAAAGGCAAATCATTCCAGTATCTTTGCCAAGAAAACCTCAAGTGAGGTCACAAAGAGTTGGACACAACTGAAACAATGGAACAACAATGACAAAATATTTAAATTTATATATAATTTTTTATTTTAAATATACATTTAAAATAGAGATTTGTGGTTTCACATAAATCCTCTTTTTCTGTTTTATTTTGTATATGAATTTTTGAAAATGTTCATTAAATTCAAAATAAAAAAAATTTTAAAGAAGAAAAGGGAACTTTGAGGAATTGAGACAAATTTATCTACCTTGCACTTTTGCTTTAGGCTTGCCCCTGTCCTTTTCTCAGATGAGTTTAAATATTTTATCCTTTACTTCATCCTTCCATTTCATAACAAACCTTAATTTCCTTCCATGTGACCCAGAGAAGGCCTAGTGACGCAGCAGTGGCTAGTGGTCAGGAGAGGAGGCCTTGTGCCTTGGATTATATTATATTAAAGAAGGAAGGGACTTTTTACCACAACTCTCCCACCCTAACTCAGTTTAACCTGTGAAATATAGACTATCAGTGAGTATAGGTCACCACTCTAAAGGGGAAAGAAAAAAAAATTCACTGAGCTATACACTGAAAAGTAATACCAATTGTAGGCCACACAGGTTTTATACAAACCAAATCTGTAAGAAGGAAAATGCTATGTTTGGATCATAGAGCATTTCCTGTTGATATACCTTATCTTCTCCAGTTATACTAGAAATTCTTGGAGGTCCAGGGAACTTGTGTTTTACTTCTCAACCCCAGGCACGGTCTCTTGATCAGTAAACCAATGAATGAATCAATGTATGAAGTGCATACATGAATGAGTGAATGAAGTGGATAAATGAATAAGTGAACGTGGATAAGTTAATGAAGTGAATAAGTGAGTGAAAGTTGAAGGAGGACTTCTAGGTTGCCCACACTCCCATAATCTGGTCCTGGGGAGAAGATCTGTAGATGGTTCTCTATGATGTTCCCTTTTCTATGAAGGGAACTGAGCAAGTCAGGAACTGGGTAGGATCTTTTTAAAATTACCTTCAGATACACAGAAAGCTAGTTCTGAACATTGAACTATACTCGTATATGTATACATTGAAGTATACACGTATACTCCTCTGTCAATACGAGGACAGCTCTACCAAGGAAATGTACTTACCCAATTATTGCTTTAAAAAACTTTATTGAGAGGCTACTCCATGCAATGCACTGTCTAACTCACTGTAACCAGTCCATAGCCTGGGCTCCTACAAGAGTTTCACATCCTCAGAGGCGTTTGAGTATTTCACCAGTGGCCCATGGGGACCTCACCCCATGATGCTCTGCATCTTCCCTATAGCTCCAGGTAAATGAATGAGCAAATGAATTCCTACTTGGAGCACTCAGTAGTAAGCACCCTAGACAAGGGCTAGGTAGTGCTCCTGCCGCTCACTCTGTGTGTATGACCCTAGGCAAGATCTTCATCTGAAGAATGAGGATATAATAATATATAGTCTCCCTACTTTACAAGCCGGTACCTCCCCCAGATGCTTTTCGTGGAGTAGATGCTTAATGAATGATTATGGAAGGGAGAGAATACAATGAGGTTCTGAGAATGTTTGAGGTAGAAGGGGCTTTAGAGACCATCAAATCCAACCCTGTCATTTTACAGAGGAAACTGAAGCCCTTACAAGGAGAGATGATTTTCTGAATGTGGCACAATGGAACTGACTGGAACCCAGTCTCCTGATTCTTTAGCCTAAGGCTCGGCATGCCAGTGCCTTAAAAAGTATAAAGAGAATACAAATATGAAAACATGTATGGGAAACCTCGCTCTGCTGCTTATTCTAAGTAAAAGAAAAAATTGACCAAAATCTGCTTTTCAACCACAGGAAAAAAAAAATTGCCAGAAACTTTCTAAGTAAAAAAAAAAATTTTTTTTTAAACTGAGCTCTGCTGCTTATTACTTGTATGACTTTATGCAACTCACTTAATTTTTCTGAGATTGTTTCCTCATCTGCAAATTGAAAGGGTTGCATTAGTTGTTCTCTTATCTAAGGCAGAGGAGTTCTTAACCTTCTGTCCATAAACCACTTTTTTTTATGGCTACAGTTCAATATAGTTGGTTTCCTTTGTAATCCTGTGCATTTATCTTTTTTTAATAGTATTTTTTCCAATTATATCTAAAGCATTCATTTAGCATTTTTAGCATTCATTTTTACAAAATTTTTTCCCTTGCAGTTTTTTACCTACATTATTTTTTTAATTAATTTGACTTATCAATAATCATTTCCATATGCTTTTGAGTTTAAAATTTTTCTCCCCCTTCCTCCCCACTACCCACTCCAAGACGGTGCACAATCTGATATAGGCTATACATTTACATTCCTATTAAACGTATTTTCACATTAGTAATGTTGTAAGTAAAAATTAAAACCAATAGGAGTAACCAAACCAAAAGAGGAAACAAAACTCAACAGAAGAGGAAAAAAATAGCAATTCAACTTCCATAGTTCTTTCTTCGGATGTGGATAGCATTTTCTATCACGAGGCCTCTGGAGATGTCTTAGATCCTTGTATTGCTGGGAAAGTTTAAGATTATCAATATTAGTCATGGTACAACGTGGCTGTTGCTGTGTACAACGTTCTCTTGGTTCAGTTCACTTCACTCAGCATCAGACCATACAAGTCTTTCCGGGTTTTTCTGAAGTCAGCCTGTTCATCATTTCTTATAGCATAATAGTATTCCTTTATATTCATATACCACAACTTGCTCAGCCATTCCCCAGTTGATGGGCATCCTCTCAATTTCCAATTCTTTGCCACCACAAAAAGAGCTGCTGTGAATATTTTTGTACATGTGGGTCCTTTTCCCTTTTGTATGATCTCTTTGGTATACAAACCTTGGAGTGGTATTGCTGGATCAAAGGGTATGCATAGTTTAATTGTCCTTTGGGCATAGTTCCAAACAACCCACCAACACTATGCATTTTATCTTGTGCATTTAAAAACATAATTTGAAATGTCCACAGGCTGTCCAGATTCTCCAGACTGCCAAGCAGTGGCACAAACAAGGTTAGGGGCTTCTGCTGTAAGGCCGCAGCTAGCTCTGAGTTCCAGGAGTCCTGAACATGGCAACTTGGGGACATCACAGGGGCCTGGTCATAAGATACAGGAGCAGCATACCGGGCCCTGGCTCTTGTCAAATTCCCGGGTCCAGAAGACAGGATGACCCTGTGTAAGTCCAGAGACAAGAAGACAAACTTCTTTTCTAGGCTACTAGGTGGGGCAAGTCAATAGTGTTAAATTTGAGATCTGCGTTTAAATCCTGCCTTAGATGCTTGCTACCTGTTTGACCCTGGACAAGTCACTTCACTTCTGTCTGTCTAGGTTCCTTACCTGTAAAATGGGATTATAACAGCACCTACCTCACAGGGTTGTTGTGAGGATCAAATGGGAAAATATATAAAAAGAGCATTTTGCAAACCTTAAAGCGCTGTAGAAATAAGTTATTTGTTTTTTCTCCTTGCCTTCTACCCCAGCCAAGACACTGACCATGAACCTTTTTTTTTCCTTCTTCAGGACTTCATCTGCATTTCCTTCCTGGAGCCGGACAACCAAGCCCGGACACTGGCCTCAAAGTCGGACACTTTGGCTGAGCAGCTGAGAGTTCAGTGTGCTGAGAAGTTTGAAGTGACCCAGCCCCAAGACCACAGACTCTTTGTCCTGGTGGATGGCAAGTGCTTCCAGCTGGCAGACGACTCACTTCCCCACCACATCAAAGCCTACCTACTAAAAAGCGAGCCCAAGAGGGATTTCCATTTTATTTATAAAGAGATGGACAGAGGAGATACCCAGACCCCCATTGTAAAGGATCCAAACTTTCTCTAAAAGCAAGGCCATCCTTGCAGCTCCTCGTGTATGAAGGCAGAGGTGTGCTCATGGTGTTTACAGTGTGGGATTCAGGCCTGGGATTTGGATCTCACTAATATGCAGTATTTTCCCCAAGATCTTCTCTCCTACTATTAGAAGAAAACCATTGTGGACCGGAGCAATAGAGTGTGTGTATACACACACACACACACATCTTCAGAGCTTAGAATCATTGACTACTCAGAGTACATTAAAAGCATCCAGTCCAACTTCCTTCATTTTAAAAATGAATAGAGTCCCAGAGATGGGAAATGACTTGCCCAATAGCGGTCACAAAGCTAGTGAGAAGTAAAGCTGGGACTTTTCAAACTCAGGTCTCCTGTTTTGGACCCCAAGGCTCTCTCCATTATGGCTCCTCCCTAGGCCAAAGAGCCTCAACCTTTTCCAGAGAAAAGTACACTGGGAAAATTACCCCCAAACTGTAGTAGATAGGACTGCCTGACCTTGGGGGAAGGGAGGATGAGGAGGGAGGGGACTCCAGCTCCAAGGGCCCTATGGTTGCAGTCAACAAGTCCTGCTTCAAGACCGACCAGACAATGGCAATTGGCCAGGTGTGGATCCCTACCTTGGGCCCTCCGTGAACCAAACTTTTTGAAGTGGGGCCCCAATGTTAGGGCTCACAAAGACTACCAGGAGGTGGGTTAGCACTTCCTCTAAATGTCCTGTGCAGTGAGAATGGATAGGTTTCAGAAATCCCTCTGACACTGTAGCAGGCTACAGTCAGGACTTCCACAGGAAACAAAAGGGGAGCCTTTGCCACTGTCCCTTCAGCTGGACACCTCTGGGGCCCAAGGAAGGGGAAGTGCCAGTCCCATCAACCCCACTGTCCTCAGGAATGTTTACCTTGTCGCAATGAAGAATGGAGCCCCCAATTATCCTTCTCAACTGAAGGGAAAACTGACAAGAACACATTAATAAGGGAGGTGGAGATTCAGTTGTGTAAGTGTAATGTACTTATGTTTAATAAACATAATTTTGAAACTGGTATGCTGTGGCCTGAACATTGAGGATACAAGATGTAGGTATGAGCTTTCCCAAGTTAATTGTTAAAGATTGAAAGGAAGCACCAGACCCTTTCACCTTTAAGCCCCTTCTTGTGGTATTCATGTTTTATCTGTAACAGGTAATTAAGGGCATCAATCGGTCAACAAATATTCACTAAGTGCCAAGGGCTGTACTAGGTACTGGGATACAAAACCAAAAGTTAAAATGGTCTCTGCCCTCAAGGAGTTTACAGTTTAGTATGTTAGGGGTCAAATACCACCACCTACTAAACCTGGAGTCAGAGAGATGAGAGTTCAAATGTGACCTCTAGTTAATTTGATTTAAAAAAAAGAAAACCAAACTACCAGTATCAAAAATGAAAAGGGTGAATTTACCACCAATGAAGAGGAAATTAAAACAATAATTAGGAGCTATTTTGCCCAACTGTATGCCAATAAATTTTACACATTTCCTTCTCTAGCTCATTTTACAGATGAGAAAACTGAGGCAAACAGGATTAAGTGACTTGCCCAGGGTCACACAACTAGAAAGTGTCTGAGGCATTCTACCCACTGTTCCACCTAGTTGCCCTATGACATTTAAAAAGTTCAAGAGACATAGTTTCTGGATAATTAGTCATTTTATTAATAATGCTAGCATTTTAATAAAAGAGGTCAGTGGTACTCAGTGCCTGACTCAGGCTTATATGCCCTTGCAAAAGTGGGTGTTCCAGAAACAACTCTGATTGGTTAACAAGTAATGAGAGAGAATGAATATTACAATAAGGGGCTGGACCTCTTCTAATGAACTTTGATTATGTCGTTTACTTCTAAATTACCTCCAGCCTTGGACGATCTAATCAAAGAATTATCCCGTCCCAAACCTCAGCAGAGCACAATGAGCTTCCCCACCTTAGATTAAATTCCGTGTAAGGTTGGATGGGATCTAACCACGACTGAGGAGAAAGTTAATTCAACCTTCAGAGACTGAGCTTTAAAATGAGGACTTCAGAAAAAGGATAAATTCTGTATCTCTCTGAATCATTGATTATTAATGATCAATTTTCACATCCCCTACATCCTAAATACAAACTAATTAAATATAAGCTAAATAAATACAAGCAGAAGGCATTAGTAGCTCTTGGGGAAGATCCAAAAAGAAGTCAGGGATTCTAAGAATAGAAAAATTCTAAGAAATAGAAGGAAGGAGAACATTCCACCTCCAGGGAGCAGTCTATGCAAAGGTGGAGTGTCATATGTAAGGATTAGGAAAGCTAGTTGGGGGGGGGGGTGTAGTGGATAGAGCATTGGCCCTGGATTCGGGAGGACCTGAGTTCAAATATGGCCTCAGATGTATAACACTTACTAGCTGTGTGACCCTGGGCAAGTCACTTAACCCCATTGCCTAGCCAAAAAAAAAAACTAGTTTGACTAGCTAGATCAGAGAATGGGTGAAGAACTTTAAATGCAAAAGGGATTTTCTACTTGATCCTCGAGCTAATAGGGAGTTTGGGGCACTTCCACTGAATTCAACAGTCATTGATTAATTGGCTTCTATGTGAGGCATTAGCTGACAACCCCAAGAAGAAGAAAAAAACAAGAACACTACCATCCCTGACCTCAAGGTGCTCCTAAAGCATCTGTAGACACAGAAAGAAGCATAAATAAAGTGCTATAGAATGTGATCAGTACAGAGGAAAGATTATAGGACTGAGGAGGAAAGGACCACTTCCATTTGACTTCATGGAAGAAGTGAAGTGGCCTCTGAACTGGGCTTTGATGGAAGAGAAAGCTTTCAATAGAACAAGAAGAAGAAGTGTGCTCCAGGCAGGCCTGCACCCAAAATATGAAAGGAGGAAAGTACAAGTTAAGATTCGGAAATTGTAGGTGGCTCAGTGGAGAGCCCACTGAACTAGGAGTTAGAAAGATGTGAGTTCAAATGCAGACCCAGACACTAAGTAGCTGTGTGACCCAGGCTAGGCCAATTTAATTTCTGCCTGCCTTACCTACCTCTCAGGATTGTTGTAAGGATCAAATAAGATCATATTTGTAAAGCGCTTAGCACAGTGCCTGGTACATAGTAGGCATATAAATGCTAGTTTTCTTCTTTCCTAATAAAATAAGGATGGAAAAATGGGTGGGGGGAGGTTTTGAATACCAGGATAAGCTGCTTGTGTTTTGTACTGTAGGCAACGGGGAGAAATAAATGTTTAAGAGCAGGAGAGAAACATACATGAGCAAGATTTTTTAGATGCTATGTCAAGGAGAGCCAGTTAAGGGGAGTTAAGAGTTAAAAGCCAGTTAAGAGGAAGACCAGTTAAGAGGCTATTACAAAGTTTAGGGGAAAGGTGAGGACCTACCCAGGGGATAGGAGGAGGGGTAATGTCACTGGATAAATGGTTGAGACATAGAGAGAACATAGGCAAGACTTGGAGATGAAGGAGGGAAATCTCAATTATGTTTCTCAGGTTTTGAGCCTGGGTGATTGGGAAAATAGTGGTGTCATCACTAGAAATAGAAATTCAGAGGAAGAGATAACATGAATGGCAACTGAGAGAGCTGTAACTAGGTATTCTGGAATCCGAAGAAAATGCAAGTTTTTGCAGTGGTCAGATGTAGGAAATTACCTCAATCTCATCACAGAGGATTGCATGAAGGAAGAGATTCCAGGACACTGCCATGTATGGGGCAGACAAAAGCCTAGCACCCCTCTTCTGGCGAGGCTGACACCAGGGAAAGCTTACTGGTAGCACAAGTAAGTCTCAGGATCCCATCTCAGCAAGCATGTGCCAACCTTTACCTTCAATGCTCTTCCATGTAAGCAACTTCCAGTCAGATCCAGAAGCACCAGGATAGGGGAGCAGATTCAGTTATGCCATGCAGCATGAGGACAGCAAGCCAGAAGACCTCTTCAGTAAAGAAGTGTGCCCTCCTCAACGAAGTCTTCAGACAAAGGCCCAGTTGTCCCATTCTAGTTACAGCTCTGGCAATCAGGTTCTCCCATAATAGGTTACCGATGAACCTAACGTGCATCTGCTTATTAACTCGCAGAAATTTAGAGCCAAAAAAGATTATTTAGTCCAACAAATGAGGAAACAGGTCCTGAGAGGGAAAATGATGTGCCCAAAGTAATTCATTAAATGACCAGCAAACATTTACTCAGCACTGTGATAGCCTCTGTGGGGCATTAAAAACTATGACAAAGTTTTCCCCAAGGAAACTTCCAGCTTTACAGACAGGATAAGACACATGCAAGAGAACTAATTATAATAGATAGTACAAAATGATGAGTCAAAAAAGACCTCTCCAAAATGCGCTGAGTGTTCACACTGGACAGAGAGGAACAGGAAATGCAGGATGGGGTAGGATTTCAACAGCTGGAAATGGAAAGACCTTCAGATGGTAGAATTCTGTGAGTAAAGATCAGAAGCCCTGAAGTGTTTGAAGACTGAACCCTGGCTGGTTAGTTTACATATTATATGTATATGAGATGAACCTGGGAAAATAGGTTGGGGCCAGAGCATGGAGGTCAGAATAAGGGAGTAGTCACACCTCTATGTGAAAAACATTTATTTAGCAACATATATAGAATGGATTTGAACCTGGAGAAATGATTGGAGATGAGGGGACTAATTAGGAGACTTCAATAGTACAGGTGGGATGTGAATGGACTTTGGTGGTAGGGAGCACTGGGGCAGTGAGGTAGCATGGTGGATAAAGCCCTGGGTCTGGAGTCAGGATGACTTGAGTTCAAATCTAGCTATAGACACTTACTAGCTGTGTGACCCTGGGTAATTAACTTAACCAACTTCTGATTGACTCAGTTTCATCATCTGCAAAATGGGGATAATAATAATACCTACCCTGCAGGGCTGTTGTGAAGATTAAATGAAATAATAATAATAATAATAAGGTACTCAGCACCATTCCTAGCACATAGTGCCATATAAATGTTAGCTATTATTACTATTATTATTAACAGATTTAAGACCCATTGAAGAGGTAGAATCAAAGTGACTTCAGAACCAATTAAGCATAAAAAGTAAAAGAGAGGGAAAAATCAAATATGGTAGAGGTTTTTAGCCTAGGATACATATTCTTTGGGAACAAATTTTGAATTTGGGCCTAAAGGTGGAAAGGGTCAGAACTAGCAGGAATAGGTGAGAAGTGCAGAATAACCAATTTCAGCTCAATATAAAAAAAAATTTTCCTAACAAACAGGACTATCTCAAAGTGGAATGAGATGCTTTGGGAGACAGTGAGTTCTGTACCACTGGATGCTTTTAAGTCAGATAAGTCCTTGTCAGGAATTTCTGCTCAGACTTATTAGATTGGATAAGATGTCCTCCAAGGTTCTGCAGGATATAGCAGAGAATTTCCCAAAAACATAGGTGCTCTGGTACGGTGATTTGGTTTTGAGTTGCAGAAACATCCAGATGGGATGTGAGGGTCCTCACCAGGCCCACCATCTTCTGGACAGTGGTACTCCAACTCTGTGATTCATGAATAATTTAGTGATTCTGATTTATTTTTACATCCTTCAACTACCAGCCTACGAAATCCCAAAGATCACACTTAGCAGGCAAAGGGTCTGGGTTCAGGCGGCATAGACAGAAACACGGTTGAAAGCCAAATCTGTGGTACAAATAAATCATTAATCAGCTCTCAAATGATGAGAGCTATATCTGGACCCTAGAACAGCATGCATATGCCCATGTGCACACACACACACACATACACACATGAACACGTATGGAAAACACCAAGGAGCCCCAGCATAGCTCTCATATGATATTTCATTAATTCCTTCTTAGCTCCAAGGAACAAATGAGCCTACTCTAAGTTTTACAACCTTTGACACATCTCAAATGACCCACCCAAGTTCTGAAAGGAACTCACCCTTTACAAGGTGCACATGCAGAATTTGAATGAGACATAACTTTCCCCTAGAACAACAGTAAGACCTTATGCAGCACAGCACTAGGGTCCAGCACGTAAGGCT